ATTAAGGAGTCGATCCCATTTACAATTGCACCCAAAACCATAAGATACCTAGGAATAAATCTAACCAAAGAGACAAAGGATCTGTACTCAGAAAACTATAAAATACTCATGAAAGAAATTGAGGAAGACACAAAGAAATGGAAAAACGTTCCATGCTCATGGATTGGAAGAACAAATATTGTGAAGATGTCAATGCTACCTAGAGCAATCTACACATTCAATGCAATCCCCATCAAAATACCATCCACTTTTTTCAAAGAAATGGAACAAATAATCCTAAAATTTGTATGGAACCAGAAAAGACCCCGCATAGCCAGAGGAATGTTGAAAAAGAAAAGCAAAGCTGGCGGCATCACAATTCTGGACTTCCAGCTCTATTACAAAGCTGTCATCATCAAGACAGTATGGTACTGGCACAAAAACAGACACATAGATCAATGGAACCGAATAGAGAGCCCAGAAATAGACCCTCAACTCCATGGTCAACTCATCTTCGACAAAGCAGGAAAGAATGTCCAATGGAAAAAAGACAGTCTCTTCAACAAATGGTGTTGGGAAAATTGGACAGCCACATGCAGAAGAATGAAACTGGACCATTTCCTTACACCACACACAAAAATAGACTCCAAATGGTTGAAAGACCTCAATGTGAGACAGGAGTCCATCAAAATCCTAAAGGAGAACACAGGCAGCAACCTCTTTGACCTCAGCCGAAGCAACTTCTTCCTAGAAACATCGCCAAAGGCAAGGGAAGCAAGGGCAAAAATGAACTATTGGGACTTCATCAAGATAAAAAGCTTTTGCAAAGCAAAGGAAACAGTCAACAAAACCAAAAGACAACCAACAGAATGGGAGAAGAAAGGGCTAGTATCCAAAATCTATAAAGAACTCATCAAACTCAACACCCAAAGAACAAAGAATCCAATCAAGAAATGGGCAGAAGACATGAACAGACATTTTTCCAAAGAAGACATCCAAATGGCCAACAGACACATGAAAAAGTGCTCAATATTGCTCGGCATCAGGGAAATCCAAATCAAAACCTCAATGAGATACCACCTCACACCAGTCAGAATGGCTAAAATTAACAAGTCAAGAAACGACAGATGTTGGCGGGGATGCGGAGAAAGGGGAGCCCTCCTACACCGTTGGTGGGAATGCAAGCTGGTGCAGCCACTCTGGAAAACAGTATGGAGGTTCCTCAAAAAGTTGAAAATAGAGCTACCATATGATCCAGCAATTGCACTACTGGGTATTTACCCCAAAGATACAAAAGTAGAGATCCGAAAGGGTATGTGCACCCCAATGTTTATAGCAGCAATGTCCACAATAGCCAAACTGTGGAAAGAGCCAAGATGTCCATTGACAGATGAATGGATAAAGAAGAGGTGGTATATATATACAATGGAATATTATGCAGCCATCAAAAGGAATGAGATCTTGCCATTTGCAACGACGTGGATGGAACTGGAGGGTATTATGTTGAGCGAAATAAGTCAAACAGAGAAAGACATGTATCATATGACCTCACTGATATGAGGAATTCTTAATTGCAGGAAACAAACTGAGGGTTGCTGGAGTGGGGGGTGGGGTGGGAGGGATGGGGTGACTGGGTGATAGACACTGGGGAGGGTATGTGCTCTGGTAAGCGCTGTGAATTGTGCAAGACTGCTGAATCTCAGATCTGTACCTCTGAAACAAATAATGCAATATATGTTAGCCTGGTGGTGGGTATTGAGGAGGGCACATTCTGCATGGAGCACTGGGTGTTATGCACAAACAATGAATCATGGAACACTACATCTAAAACTGATGTAATGTATGGGGATTAACATAAGAATAAAAAAAAATCCTCCGTTGCATTGCATTGTTAATACGACAGCAGAATGTTTGGGTATATATATACTATTTCCATATAAGATTCTCTTCATTGCTGCAGTTCTAAACAACATTGCAAGTATAACTTTTCTCTTTCCACTGTAATTATGCAGTGAGTATTGTATAATGATCACCAGCCTTGAAAATCCATCAGGTTTTGACACACTTTGCTGAATCTGTCTGCTGGCTTAACAGAATACTTTATTCTGTGTTTAACTAGTTGATTTTACTCTTCTGAATTGTCCTTATTTTTTCTGTATAATTATTGGAGCCTTTAGAGTGGCATCTATTTGAATCAATTAGAGGAATCAAGATCATGGGTTCTGGGATAAGACTGCTTTGAGTAGAATACTGGCTTCAACACTTAACAGCTGGGTGAGAATTGGCACGCAACCTCTGTAAATTCCTCTTCTGCATTTTAAAGGATCATTTTTACCCAATGACTGCATCCAATTCTTTCAACAGGGCTAAATTATGTGCTGAACACCTGGCTTGATTGGCCTATAAATGGCACTTGGGCGGGGGACATTGCCATAATCCCTTTTAAAAAAGGAAGACCTATGAAATCTGTTGGTAAATGTGACCTGAAGTCAAATTTGAGGAGACCATAGGGCCAGGAAGGACTCTGCAGACTGGGGTGGGGGGCGGGAATCAAGGTGTTGAGGATCTCAAGCAGTGGCTCTCTGCCTTCAGAGGGAGGAAGGGAGCTGGGCAGGGAGGATCATAGTTGCCTATTAATATGAAAAGAAACACTAGAAAAATGTCCTTCCTCTTAAACTGGCATAAGACTTCAGGCAGCTCATAAATACCTTAAAATGTTAGGTGGTTTTTCCCCTTATATTTAGGTCTTTAGTCTGTTTTGAGTTAGTTTTTGTACATAATGTGTGACTATTTATGGGAACCTTCCAGGACAGGCAAATCCATGGAGACGAGAAACAGACTGGTGGTGGCCAGGGTCTGCGGGGAGGGGAGAATGCAGAGCAAGTGTTTAATGGGTATGGGATTTCCTTTTGGGGGGATGAAAGTGTCTGGAACTAATCCAAGGTGGTGGTTACACAACATTGTGAATGTACTAAATGCCACTGAACTGTTCACTTAAAATGGTTAATGGTTAATTTTATGTGAATTTTACCTTAAGAAAAGAGCAATCTATGCTTACATGGAAAAAAAAAGTTGAGTGGTCAACAGGATTTGTTTCAAACCCAATACAAACAGAATTATTAGCTGTGTATTCCAGCAGGCTTGGTGCCTGTGGAAGGTGGGACAGGTCTCTTTATAGAGTAGGATGTGGACACCTGGGATGCTTCAGTTGAATTCATCCCTCACACCAAGGTCTGGAGCAGATGCAGGTTCTGCAGGCTAATCCCCCAGGGTCCAGCTTACCTCTTGCAGCGCTCTGGCAACTTCCCAATTGCAGGTACCTTCTCCACGTGCCTGGCAGGGTGGAGGGACAAAGGTCAAAGGCCACTCAGCTGTTTCTGCCCTCTTTTTATCGGGACAGAGATAACATTCTAGAAAGCCCCACCAAAAAGACTTAAGCAGATTTCGCTGGCCAGCAATGTTCCTTGAGCACTCTTGGCTGAAACATGGTTTTGTGAATGGAGTTGGTGACAAAGAAGCAGGTAGAGTGGGCTTGCACCTCAGGAACACAGTGGAGGTCTGCCCTGGTCGGCCTCAGCACGAATCTTGGTGACCGCCCACCCATTGACCCCACCTCCTTAGATCTGCCCCACTTGTCCTTGCTGTGCTAGGAGCTGAGTTCCACATCTCTCCCCTACCTCCAAACCCTAGCTGCAGCTCCCTCTCTCCAGTAAAGCCTTCCTTACCATCTTCAAGGGTCATGAAAAAGTTTCCTTTACCAGCTTCTTGGTGTGGCTCTCCATCTTCCACATGCAGCAAGAGAAAGTGCTTCTGAGTATAAGTCAAATTATGTGGCATCCCTGCCAGAAACTTCAGACCTGCTTCCTGTTATACCTGGAATCAAATTTTTAAAATCCAAATATAACTAGCCACTGCCTTAATGATCAGAGATCTGACCCTAGGGTATGAGTCCCATCCCGTGTTCATCTGTTTCAATGAGTGCCCATGCTGAAATCCACTCAGTCCCGAGCTTTAACACTCATTCACTCTGCTTAGACTTTACCCCCCACAAAACTTTCACAGCTAATAGCTCCTTGTCTTCATGTTCTCAATGACCTATTTCCTCTGAGAAAATGTCCATGCTCATGTGATGTAAAATCTGCCTCATTCTGCTTCTGTATCATCCTGTCTTCATATTTATATGTCACTTGTTTCTGTTTGAATTGATCTGTGAAATGTCTGCTTCTCCCACCCTATACGTGTACCCAAATTGAGTATAAACCCCAAGCGGGCAGGGTTCTTACCCATCTTTGTAACTGTCCCTTCAGTTCTAAAATTGTTCCTGGCACCCAATGGGAAATTTTTTTGAATAAACTAGTGCCCATGGCCACTTAATGAGGTGGGTGATGACATGCTTGTTTTACAACTGGAAATCTGAGCATAGGACCCTTGACTCAAATGCTCATCTGTTCAGTGAATAGAATTTCAAACCCATGTCAGTTGAGGTCGAGAAATAACTCTTTGTAAGCAATGGCAAATTGAAAAAGTGTACCACTCAACTGCTTGGTGAGTCTCTGTTGAGATATTTTCAATATTTGTACAAATATTTTCAATATTTGTAGTCAAGGTCCATAAACATCCTAAGACAACAACATGTCAGGTTGTTCTAGAGAGCTGAAGTGAGTAGTTCTCATTAGCTCATTTGTACACCAAATTTACTAAAAACTAACATGATCTGCTAGGTCCAGGAGATGCCTCCGCATGGACTTCCTACCTATCCTCAGGGATTTGCACACTCTCAAAAGAGTCCCAGACTCTCAAAATGGGAACCACTGTGTCAAGGCAAAAACTAAGGGAGTTCTGTGTGAATTTTTCCTACTTTGGAGAGTTGGTTCCTAAAGCAGCAGGTCAGGAGTGAGAATTGCCCAGTTTCTGGCACAGAAGCAACCAGTATTTAAGACAGGAATACCAATTTGCTGTCTCTTTCGTTTCTCTCCTTAATTCTTTAATGCCCAAAGCTTGGATCTCTCATGCAGGGTGAGATGGAACCTTCTGCACAGCTGGGTTTCAGCCTGCAGCCCCTCCTGGAGCAGCTCAGCCAGAATGAGCCGAGCCAGTTCAAGTCTCTGTTGAGGCCCCTTTCCCTGCAAGATGAGTTACAGCACATCCCTGAGACAGAGGTAGAGGAGGCTGATGGGAAGCAACTGGCAGAAATTCTCACCAACCACTGCCCCAGCCACTGGGTAGAGATGGTGACCATCCAGGTCTTTGACAAGATGAACCAAACAGATCTGTCTGAGAAAGCAAAGGATGAGCTCAGGGGTAAGTAGAAATGAGCCCACGCAGTGTCATAGGAGGAAGGAGGAGTAGCCTCCAGGGTTTTACATGTATAGGAATAACACTGAGCCTTGGAGAGGCCCCCTGTCCTGAACTGAAATGCTAGACCTTCATAAAGTCTGGTGGTATCTCTCATTCTAGCTATTTCTACTCTGTCCAGGTATTGTATACCTTCCCCGGCCTCCTCAGTCTATCTATATCCCTTCTCTTTTCTAAGACTGTTCCTGGAGTATATTTATATCCCATTCTCGTATACATCCAAGATGTTAAATTATTACACACCTTCTGTTTGGTTTTCAGCTCCCACTCATGTTTCCTTCCACACACTCACAAACCCCTACCTTCCCTTCGATCAGCAGCACTAATAGCATTTGGGGCTGGGTGAGGAGACCTATTTTGCATTGCAGGATATTTAGCAGCATCCCTGGGACCCCAGGGCTAGCATCCCAGCCCCTCCACCCATTAGATGCTAGGAGCACACTCCCCTCACTCGCAACAGCCAAAAATGTCTCTAGACACTGCCAAATGGCCCCTGAGTAGAGAACAGTGTTTTAGGTCAGTGGTTGTCAACTTTTACCATTCTGGGCAATCTCCTCAGGAGCTTAAATACACCGATGTCCAGAATGCTTTTATGTACCATCTCATGAGCAGCTCTTACACTGACTACACATCTAAGTGTTAGCATTTTAGATACATAAAAATTATGAAAATTAGTTGTACCTCTTTATACCTTTCATAATGTGGCTACTAGAAAATACAAAATTACATAGGTAGCTTGCTTTTGTGACAGGTGTTATATTTGTTTTGGAGAGCACTCTGCTCTAGGGGACCTTTTCTGTCTTCCTCTTTGGCAGGGGTATTCAAAACAGCTCTGCCTTACCTACAATTTTCTTTTTCCTTAAAAAAAAAAAAAAAAAAGACCAGTTTTATTCCAGTGAGGGATCTGTTTTTAGCTTAATGTTCCCTGTCTTCAATGGACAGGTGAGGGTTTTCACCCCTAGCTGGCCTCTGGAGATTATAAATTTGGAAATAGCATGAAGAAACTCTGAGCGTAGCACCTGTAAGGATCTGGCTCTGAAAAGTGCGGGTTTCGGGCGCCTGGGTGGCTCAGTTGGTTAAGCGACTGCCTTCGGCTCAGGTCATGATCCTGGAGTCCCGGGATCGAGTCCCACATCAGGCTCCCTGCTCAGCAGGGAGTCTGCTTCTCCCTCTGACCCTCCCCCCCTCTTATGTGCTCTCTCTCTCTCTCTCAAATAAATAAATTAAAAAAAAAAAAAAAAAAAAAAAAGAAAAGTGCGGGTTTCCCCGACCTCCTCCTCTACCAGAAGCAGCTCTGGAGTCTCTTGGAACAAGCCTCCAGCATTAGATAAGCTACCTCATTTACTTTTCATGTGAGATTTTGGAATTCAGGAGCTTGTTTTAATTAGACAAGACACGGTGCTGAGCACTAAGGATGCAAAGAAAGACAAGCCCTCCTCTCTGCTGCCATGCAGGTGGGTGAGGAGTGAGACCTGGGGAGCTCAGGGAGGCGGTATTTATACCAGAAGTCAGTAAGCACACACAGATGCAGGAAAGCATGAGCTTTCCCTTGGATCTGGACAAGCTGGATTTTAGACTGACCTGCAGCAAGAGTTGGCCAACTAGGCTCACCAACCGGATCCAACCTGCCATGTGCTTTTGACCTTCCCACAAGCTAAGAACAGTTCTTATATTTTTAAATGGTAGGGGGCGGGGGGGCAGAATCAAAAGACTGTCTTATAGTCTATGAAAATCATAAGAAACTCAAACTTCAGTATTCATAAACAAAGTTTTCTTTGCACACGGCATACTCATTTGCTTATATGTTGTCTGTGACAGCTTTTGCCCTACGAGGACAGAGATGAGAGGTGTGGCCCGAAAAGCAGGAAACATTTATTGTCTGGCCCTTTGCAGGAGCAAGAAAATTAAGTTTGCTAACCCCAGCCAAAAGGATTTTTGAGTTAGTGATTTTCAACATTCTCTCCTCTCAACATCCCAAATCCCCAGTATCCTTAATGATATGACTTGGGCTCAAGGCAACAGTAAACGGGAGGGTGGTGTGAAGAGCAAAGGCACAACCATTGATAATCTCAACCCCGGGTGTCCTGACTTCTACCAATACACAAGTGTGTTAAAAGTTTCCACAATGATGACCTAAATAAAGGTCAAAGGTAGACTGGTGGTCCATCAGACCTTACATTTGGCAGTGCTTTAAGGAATCCTGCCTGCTTAAAAAGTTGGTATTCGTTCCATTAAGTGTTTGGGCTAAAAGCACAGAGAATTCTTCCTTTAGAATCCTGTTCTTGGCTTTTATGACCTTGTTGCCTTTGCCTTGTTGCTTGTTGATTATTTTTTCTTCTGTTCTTTCAGAATTCTTGTTCTTCTGCCTCATCTTCAAATGGATGACTGGCTGACCATTTTACCATTCAGCATCCTGGTCCTGGTAGATATCCCTTGGAGTCTTACTGGCTATTTATGCCTGAAGTCTTTCCAAAGGATAACTTCAGACCAGCATTTTCCCTGAACTTTAGATGCCCACAGCCAATTGCCTCCTGGGAATCTCTTCTGGACTCTCCTCTTCTTTATCCAGTGTTGAGCTTAAAGTACTTCCTCTCCTTTCAGGACTCCACCCTGTTCCTATATTCCCTCCCTGGACAGTGTGGTTTTCTCTACCTCATCAGAAACCAGGAAATTAATCCATGAAAGCTTTCTGATGCCCTCAAGACAGAGTAATTGTGCACATGTGCTCATTTCTCTCACGTGTGAACTTGACTGGCTCCACCTAGGATAAATCCACCATGATGAGCACTCTGTGACCTGCAGCCTTCTTGAGCTCCACCACCCCCACCCCAAACACACACACACACACTTTCACAGTCTTTCCTGTTGTTTAACTACACCCTTAAGTACATCCTCAGGGCATAACGTCCTTGACCTGCTCTGGAGATAGGACTGTGGCCCACACCACTCTCATCCTCCTCCTGGATGGACCCCTGCTCATACTCCCAACCTCTAGGGCTATGAAAGCAGGGTCATGGAGATATGCTGGTCTTAGAGCTGCCCAAGACACACTTCTGTCCCCTTAATAAACCATTTCTTGGGGGCACCCGGGTGGCTCAGTTAAGCATCTTCCTTCAGCTCAAGTCATGATTCCAGGGTCCTGGGATAGAGCCCCTCATCAGGCTCCCTGCTCAGCGGGGAGCCTGCTTCTCTCCCCCTCTGCCTGCTGCTCCCCCCTGCTTGTGCTCTCTCTCTGTCAAATAAATAAAATTTTTAAATAAACCATTTCTTGTCAAGCTGGACTGGTCAGCCTTTTTCTTCAGTCTTGTGGCTCATTGGGCCTTTGGAGATTATTGTGCATACACCTCCCTCCCATGGAACACTCACTGTGTGTTCTCAACTGCATAAGAAGCCACCATAGGAAGCCAGAAGAGGCATGGAAGCCTGAGATCGTGGCTTGACACTTTATCTCCAGTAACATGTTAAGGTCCTTTTTATGTCATCAGGGCTTAAGTATGAGACCCAGTTGTCAAACATAAGTTCTCTTGAAGTCCCACTCTCTCCCGGGGAAAAGTTTCAATACTAACCTAGTGACAAGCCTATAATGTCCCCTCTTTTCTCAGGGATCACCAGGACTCCAGAACCAAAATGTGCAAACTTGGAAGAAACCCAACAGTGTGCAGAAGAAAAGGAGCCAGGTTGGTCTTAGAACACCCAGGGTTGGAGCAAGCCAAGGGACACATACCCCACCCCGTTGTGTCCTCTCTGCCCCCACCCTTTGGGAGCTCCATCTCCCCAACCTCATTTTTGCCACTATTTATAATCACCAGTTGTCTCACAGAGAATGCCTTCCTCCCTCACTTAAGAACAAAGCAAGGGAAGGACCGTTGGAGAGAACTGGAATTCCTGTAGTTCACAGAAAATTTGTGTACCGTATGGAGTTTTTCTTTGATTTTTCAAACTCAGATGCTCAGACTTTAGTAATCTCAACTCCCTAGATGAGAAAGTTGAGATGTGCCATAGGAGGGTGACTCTCCTGAACAGGTTCTGTGGTCCGTTTAACGTCAGCGAGTTGCTCAAGTCAGCCTGCTAGTATTTTTTGTTAATGACCCTAGTGAAGTACAATCTATGTATCCATAAATTTCAATCATTTTAAATGTGCTACTACTAACTTTCAGTAAACGTACAGAGTTTTGCAACCATCACCACTATCTGATTTTACAACATTTACATCAACCCAAAAAGTTCCCTCATGTCCACATGTGGTCACTCCCTGGTCTCTGTCCCCCAGTTCCAGGCAACCCTTACTTTATTTTGTCTCTCTAGACTTGCCTTTTCTGGACACATGTGGTCTTTCCTGTCATCTTTCATCACTTAGCATAATGTTTTTGAAGTTTGTCCATATTATTGCATGTATCACTGATTCGTCCCTTTTTACTACAGAGTAATATTCTATTATGTGGATATGCCACACTCGATTGTCCGTTCATTGGTGGATGTCTGAATTTTTTCTACTTTGTAACTGCCTTGTATAACGCTGCTATGAACCTTCATGTGCTAGTCTTGGCATACACGTTTTCATTTACCTTGGGCAGATACTCAGGAATTGTCTGGCATTCCACATGGGCATGACATCACTTGTTTACTCAGATACTTGAGCAGCTATAATGGGTTGGGCCGTATGAAGGTCTATCTCCTGATATCCTGGTGCACAGTCTAGTCCAGCAGGAAGGATAGACAAGTAGTTTCAATAGATCACACTGAGTTTTGGTAGAGCGACTAGAACAAATATTTCTTGTTATGGGTCTACAGAGGAGAGGCAGGTGACTTGGTTTAGAAGGTCATTTACTCTGTTCATCTCTATAAACCTGGCTGTTGCACCTCCCAGCACATGATATAGACAGAGATTAGATTCTGCACTCCTTGGAGGCTGCTTTAACACCACATCTCTGGTAAAAGAAATTCACATGTTTTTGTGTCAAGCTCATTTTTAATTTGTATCTTGTAGCACTTACACATGTACAGGAAGAAGATGTCAGAAACCCAGAAGAAGCAAAGGAAGTTTTCAAAGGAGAAAAGCCAGGTCTGTATCCTATCTTCCTGGATGAGCTTGGTGTCAGGTAGTTCTTTATAAACTTCTCTATTGTCTCTTTCCTACTTAACACAAAGTATTTTTTTTCTAATGAATAACCAGCTATATCCTTCCTATCCCCTACCTCCTATCACTGAAGGTAAACAGGATAAATATAGAAGTATTTTCGAAGAGGAAGTCCAGCAACTCTGGAAGAAGAACTTTTGGCCTGGAGCCAGTGAAAACATTCACACTGTCACCCAAAGATATGAGACACTGATCCCATTCTGTAATCCTAAAATACTTGCAGGGCCATTTCCACACACGGTGGTCCCATCGGCGTCAGGAAGACCACTCTGGCCAAGAAGTGCATGCTGGACTGGACACAGGACAACCTGGCACAGACCTGCCCCCGCGCCTTCTATCTCAGCTGCAAGGTGCTCAGCCGCAAGGGGACGTGCTCCTTCGCAGAGCTGCTGGCTGCGAGCGCCCCAGACCTGCAGGATGCCCTTCCGCAGGTCCTCGCCCAGGCGCAGAAACTCCTGCTCGTCGTTGATGCTTTTGAGGAGCTGCGCGTGCCCTCGGGGGTGGGGGCGCTGGTGCAGGACCTGTGTGGCGACTGGAGGTCGCAGAGACCTGCGCCTGTCCTCCTGGGGAGCTTGCTGACAAGGAAGCTCTTACCCACGGCCACCCTACTGGTCACCACGCGGCCCGAGGCCCTGAGGGAGCTGCGGTTCCTGGTGGAGCGGCCACTCTTGGTGGAGCTGGAAGGGCTCTCAGAACGCGACAGGAGGGCGTATTTCCTGCGACACTTTGGAGGGGAGGCTCAGGCGCTGCGCGCTTTCCACCTGATGAAGAGCAATGCGGCGCTGTTCCGCATGGGCGCGGCGCCCGCCGTGTGCTGGATGGTGTGCACCTGCCTGAGGCTGCGGATGGACGAGGGCGAGGACCCCCGCCCCACCTGCCAGACCGCCACGTCACTGCTGCTGTGCTTTCTCTGCAGTCGGTTCGCGCCCGCGCGGGGCGGCTGCCCGGGTCCACACCTCGGGGCTGCGCTGCGCGCCCTGTGCCTGCTGGCCGCCGAGGGCACGTGGGCGCAGACCTCGGTGTTTGATGGACACGACCTGCGCAGGCTGGGCATGGACGAGTCGGACCTGCGCCCTTTCCTGGACAGGAGCATCCTCCAGAAGGGCAGGGACTGCGAGGGCTGCTACTGCTTCGTCCACCTGAGCGTCCAGCAGTTCCTGGCCGCTGCGCTCTACGTTCTGGGCAGCGAGGACCACCAGGACGCGGGGAGCCCCGGCTGGAATATTGGGGGTGTGCAGAGGCTGCTGTCCAAGGAAGAAGGACTCCAGAACCCCCAGCTGGCCCCCGTGGGGCGCTTCCTGTTCGGCCTCGCCAATGAAAAGAGGGCCAGGGAGCTGGGGACCACGTTTGGCTGCCCGGTGTCCACGGAGGTCAAGCAGGAGCTACTGGAATGCAGAATAAGGTCCGCCGAGAACAGACCCTTCTCGTCGGTGACCGACACGAAGGAGATTTTGTACTGTCTCTACGAATCCCAAGAGGAGCTGCTTGTGAAGGAGGCCATGGCCCAGGTCACGGAAGTGTCCCTGCATTTGCAAGATACCTCGGACATGGTGCACGCGGCATTCTGCCTCAAGCATTGTGAAAACTTGCAGAAAATGTGGCTGCGGGTAGAAAAGGGGATGTTCCTGGAGAACGATGCTGCATGGGAATCAGAGGCTCAGGCTGACCGGTAAGGACCTGCCCTGTTCACTCTGTTAGTGCCCCGTCTTCAGCCTCATCCCCTGCTGCATTAGGAGCAGGGCAGAGTGTCTTGCTCCCTGTGGCTTAGGGTCAGAATTTTCTTCTTGCCAGAATTTCTTCTGCCGGCTTGCCGTTCAAGGTGGGGAGCACAATGCTCAGATTAAGGGTGGGGTCTTTGGAACTAGACCTTGTTTTGAGACTTGTCTCCTTTTTTCTTTAACTGAGCAATTTTTGCAAATGGTTCGACCTTATTTCAGTCCTCATGTTGGTTGTCAAGGTTGCCCATTTGTATGGGATTGTCCCATTTGGCATGAGAGATGGAAAGGCATTAAAGGTGTGAAGTCAGAGGTTGATTCAACAAGGTTTCTGAAAGCTGACCCCCCATCGGTGATCATGGATACCTGCCTAACACAACTGACACAATGAAATTACCCCAGTCAGTTATGAGGCTTTTCTATTCTTGATGTAGGCTCAAGTAACATCAGCTCAGCTCATAAAGACTTTCCAAATACTATTTATCACCTGGTGGCTACGTGTAATCTTCCATGTTGAGGAATCCATGCTGAGGATCCTGGTTTCAGAAAATCGTGCTTGAGTGGGATTAGAACTCCAGTCTGCTATCTTATGAAGTCCTCCTGTCACGATCCAAGATCCCTGCTCATGGTCCTGTGTAGGGCCCTCCCCCCCCACCACCACAGACTGGCATTTATTTTATCAACTTGCCCCTCCTCAACCCTAGGTTGTCATCCGAAATCAGTATCTGAAATCCTCATGCATACGGAGCCAAAATAAAATGCCCTCCTGGCTTTCCTGTTGGAGGTGTCTGTTTTATACATTCCCTTAACTTTCCCTCACATTCCTTCCCCATTTAGCAGAGAGCCATGAACTCGAGTCACCCCAGGGGGCGTTAGGACCATGACAGCTGGGCATGAACATTTCTCCACCTCGCAGATCACCAGCAGTCCACAGACCTTATCCCTTTGTCCGTATCCTGGTTTTGTTTCTTCTCTCATCCAAGTGTTTACACAGGCCCACATGCTGGTTTACCTAAATCTTTCTTCTGCAGGAGGGCACCAAAGAGCTGCTTTGAATGAAAATGAGATTGCACAAATAGCCTCCTCTCTCTATCCCATCCAAGATCCCAAGTCAAAATAGTCTCTATTTTTACTTTTTCTTCTTTTTTTTTAAATATTTTATTTATTTATTCATGAGAGACAGAGACAGAGAGAGAGAGAAGCAGGCTCCCAAGGAGCAGGGAGCCCGATGCGGGACTCGATCCCAGGACCCTGAGATCATGACCTGAGCCGAAGGCAGACGCTTAACCATCTGAGCCACCCAGGCGCCCCTACTTTTTCTTTTTAACATTGGTTTGGTTAAAACCAGCAATGGTGCCAATGTTAAAATGACAGGTAATTACCCACAGTTGGGCTGCTTGGTTCTTGGAGCATTGCCATCTGAGAAGAAGGCAACGGATGTCTTTAGGTGTGATTATGGTCTTTCTGATCCGAAACGCAAACTGACGCTTTTCATGAACGTTCCTTTCAGGTGCTTTTTGCCACTTTCCTTTCTGTCCTGCTCATCACAGCAGGCCCATAACATTGCTGGTCTGTAACTCCTGGGATGCTTAACTCACAAGATGCCTTCAGTCAGGTCACCTCCTTCGGTAGCAGGGTGGTAAGGAGCCCGTGTCCACATAATGGCTTGATTATCTTACCTTGATAAGACCATCGCGCTAATCCTACACAGCCTCAGATTTCTCTCCCCATGAGAGAGCATTTGGACCGTGCTCTTTGAAAATCACAAACTAGCTTTATAATGGCTTGTCCTCCTCATGTTGCTTGAAGTTCTACAATGAGGTCGTTAATTTTAAGTAGGTCTTTCATTGAGGCAAGCACCACTAATAAAACCAAAGGTATAACCTCGTCTTAAAACAGCCGTGGGCATGGGGCGCCTGAGTGGCTCAGTTGTTAACCGTCTGCCTTCAGCTCAGATCATGACCCCAGGGTCCTGGGATCGAGTCCCGCAGGACTCGAGCCTGCTTCCCCCTCTCCCACTCCCCCTGCTTGTGTTCCCTCTCTCTCTGTCAAATAAATAAATAATCTTAAAAAAAAAAAAAACACACAGCCATGGGCTCTAGAGCTGACAGAATCTAAGTTCTGTCTGGCTTCTTTTTCTTCCCTATTTCAAACCACAAAATGTCTGCTTTGTGTAGGACTTGCTATTGAGTCAAATCTTTTTTTTTTTTTAAGATTTTATTTATTTATTTGAGACAGAGAGAATGAGAGAGAGAGAGCACATGAGAGGGGGGAGGGTCAGAGGGAGAAGCAGGCACCCTGCCGAGCAGGGAGCCCGACGTGGGACTGGATCCCGGGACTCCAGGATCATGACCTGAGCCGAAGGCAGTCGCTTAACCAACTGAGCCACCCAGGCTCCCTATTGAGTCAAATCTACTAATGAAGTTTCTAGCCTTTAGAAACTGCTTATTTCTTCTCCCGGCTCTTTTGAAACTTAGGAAGGTATTCACACTGACTCAAATAAAGTTACCCTTCCATTAGTGCCTTTGTAAGAGCAACCCCCAAACACGGTCTTGTGTAGACTTGCCCTTCTGTAGGAGGAAGGACAATTATCCTTCAGAAAACAGAGTGACATGAATGACCAGCCTCACAAGACTTAGAGGCAGAGTGGAAAATAAGAAGTCAATTATTCAGATAAATTTTTATGCTCTGGAAACTGGATGCCTTGATTTCAAATCAGCTGAGCACAGTTATAGGCTGAGGGATAGAAGATGGTAGGAGGTAACGTAGGTGCTGGGATCTTATTGTCTCACTTTGAGCTCTGTCTCTGTTAGAGCTCTGTTACTATGTGATGATGTAGGGTGAGTTAGATACTTTCTGTGCTTCTGTTCCATTACCCTCAAGTAGCCACAGTACCTACTTCAGAGTAGTGGGGTTTTTTTTTTATTATATTAGTCACCATACAGTACATCATTAGTTTTTGATGTAGTGTTCCCTAATTCAATATTTGCATATAATACCCAGTGTTCATCCCAACACATGCCCTCCTTAATACCCATCACTGGCCTACCCCATTCCCCACCCCCCCTCCCCTCAGAAACCCTCAGATTGTTCCCAGAGTCCATAGTCTCTCATGGTTCCTCTCCCCCTCTGATTTTCCCCCTTTCAGTTTTCCCTCCTTCCCCTAATGCCCTCCATGCTATTCCTTATGTTCCACATATGAGTGAAACCATATAATAATTGTCTTTCTCTGCTTGACTTATTTCACATAGCATAATCTCCTCCAGTTCCATCCATATTGATGCAAATGGTGGGTATTCATCCTTTCTGAGGGCTAATATTCCATTGTATATATGAACCACATCTTCTTTATCCATTCTGCTGAAGGCATCTCGGCTCCTTCCACAGTTTGGCTATTGTGGACATTGCTGCTATGAACATTGGGGTGCATATGGCCCTTCTTTTCACTACATCTGTATCTTTGGGGTAAATACCTAGTAATGCAATTGCTGGGTCATAGGGTAGCTCTATTTTTAATTTTTTGAGGCACCTCCACACTGTTCTCCAAAGTGGCTGTACCAACTTGCATGCCCACCAACAGTGTAAGAGGGTTCCCCTTTCTCCACAAATTCTCCATATTCATTGTTTCTTGCCCTGTCCATTTTTGCCATTCTAACTGGTGTAAGGTGGTATCTCAATGTGGTTTTGATTTGAATTTCCCTGATGGCTAATAATGATGAACATTTTTTCATGTGCCTGTTAGCCATTTGTATGTCTTCTTCAGAGAAGTGTCTGTTCATCTCTTCTGCCCTCTTTTTGACTTATTTGTTTTTTGGGTGTTGAGTTTGAGAAGTTCCTTATAGATTTTGGATACCAGCCCTTTATCTGTAGTGTCACTTGCAAATATCTTCTCCCATTCTGTGGGTTGCCTCTTTGTTTTGTGGACTGTTTCCTTTGCTGTGCAGAAGCATTTTATCTTGATGAAGTCCCAAAAGTTCATTTTCACTTTTGTTTCACTAGCCTTTGGAGATGGAAAGAAGTTGCCGTGGCCAATGTCAAAGAGGTTACTGCCTGTGTTTTCCTCTAGGATTTTGATGGATTCTTGTCTCACATTGAGGTCTTTCATCCATTTTGAGTTTATCTTTGTGTATGGTATTAGAGAATGGTCTAGTTTCATTCCTCTGCATGTGGCTGTCCAATTTTCCCAGCACCATTTATTGAAGAGACTGTCTTTTCTCCATTGCATATTTTCTCCTGCTTTGTTGAAGATTATTTGACCATAGATTGAGGGTCCATATCTGGGCTCTCTATTCTGTTCCATTGGTCTATATGTCTGTTTTTGTGCCAGTACCATGCTGTCTTGGTGATCATGGCTTTGTGATATAACTTGAAATTGAGCAGTGTGATGCCCCCAGCTTTGTTTTTCTTTTTCAACAATTCCTTGGTGATTCGGGGTCTTTTCTGATTCCATACAAATTTTAAGATTGTTTGTTCCAGCACTTTGAAAAATGTCATTGGAATTTTGATCAGGATGGCATTGAAGGTATAGATTGCTCTGGGCAGCATAGACATTTTAACAATTTTTTTCTTCCAATCCATGAACATGGAATGTTTTTACATCTTTTTGTGTCTTCTTCAATTTCCTTCATGAGTGTTCTGTAGTTCCTAGATATGGATCCTTTACATCTTTGGTTAGGTTTATTCTGCAGTATCTTATGGTTTTTGGTGCTATTGTAAATGGAATCGTTTCTCTAATTTCTCTTTCTACAGTTGCATTGTTAGTGTATAAGAAAGCAACTGATTTCTGTGCATTGATTTTGTATCCTGCCACATTACTGAATTGCTGGATGAGTTCTAGTAATTTAGGGGTGGAGTCTTTCGGGTTTTCCACATAAAGTATCATGTCATCTGCAAAGAGAGTTTGACTTCTTCTTTGCCAGTTTGAATACCTTTTATTTCTTTTTGTTGTCTGATT